ATGGGCTGATGGTGGGTGAAGGAGCCATAAGACCCAGGTGGTGAGAGGTGCCAGGGCAGCCCTTGGGCAGTCCCACAGCCCAGGAGATGCAGAGCAGCCCATGCACTGCTCTCTCTGTCCTCTCCCATTCTGAGGAAGCCCTTCAGTTAGTGCTCTGAAGAACCTTCACTTGTTACACCTTTACTTTGCACCTCCCTTTTCTGAAAGATTGCATCTAAAGATTCTAAATGAGTTCTGAGCAATAGCTCATCTGCTCTGAAGGAACAGTGTGCTGCCTGCCATGTTCATTCACTCTCCTTGGCAATGTTTGAGTTTGGGTATAACATTTATATTACATCCATTAGAGCATAGAATGGGGTGTGAATTACTCAAAGCTGTTCCAATCATCACTTAAAATCTTTATGGATTGCAAGTAATAAACATAACTGCAGCATTGCTGAGACTTCATGCCACTCAGCCGCCAGTTAGACACAACTAAAAAAAGTCTGCGGATTATTGGGTGAGACATTCAAGTCCTAAAGTGACTTCTGCTCCTAATTTTCACCTGTAGTGGTCACCGGCTCTTTGTATCGCCTGCTGATACAAACCCCAAACATGATCTACAAAGCCACTAGCATCATTCCTGGAAAATGGCCCTTTCCTGGCAAGACAGCAGTGTTCGTTTCATAAATTAACAGTGCTTTTCCAAGAAACTGCTCTGACTCTTCACTGCAGTCCAAGTTTGTTCAGGGAAGGGTCCTGTTTGCAGCACTGGCACACAAACACGATGGCCAGGAACTGGAACCCAATTGCCAGAACAGCTTGGCCAGCTTTTGCAGTCATATGTGGGAGTGCAGCCTGCTGGACCTCTGTCTTAAGCTGGTAGAATTTAATGATGGCAGTAGGTAAAACACCTGGTTTGGGGTTATCTGCTTTAAGTAGGTGCAGGTGAAATCATGAAAATGAACCTCAAAGGTCATTAATCAAACTGCCAGAAACCTGTTTTGATTTATAATTTGAGAGGGGCAGGATTTCTACCTTCCCACTTTTGGGACTAATAGAGATCTATTTCTTTGATGATTAATTTACCTGTCCTCTACTTCAAACTTGTTCTGGCCAGAAAGAAATATTATAATGCCACCAGTTTTCTCAGCGGAGATAAAATTTACTGCAACTAACCTGCACTAGTGCTTTGGTGAGAGGAGGCAAAGCAAGAAATCCCTCAGACAGGTGAGGGTGTCTCAAAGAGCAGTAAGAAGAGAGATGGCCTCTGAGTCATCATGTTCCCTCTTTTCCATATTAATGGTATGAATGGAAGATAGATAGTAATGAAATAGAAATGTAATGAATGCTCTGCAAAGAACACATAGCAGCTTCTTCTTCTGAGAAGGGACCTCTGCATGGTGAACATACTCAGCTTGGCTGTGATGCCACAGAGGATTTGTGTTCAATGGGTGAGAAGAATGCCAGGATCCAGACATGGCCCTCTCTGCTCCCATCAGAATCTCAGCTAAAACCATGCCTGACTCTGACTGTTAAATTGAACCAAGCTGCACAACTACTGAGAAATGAGCAATCAGCAAATGTACCAGCAGCCAGGCTTGTTTTCCAATGTATTTGCTTACCCTGGGAATTTGGGAGTTGAGGAGTCCATTCTGCACCAGCCTACACTGCATTCCTGGAGCACTGGACCAGTGTCTTCATGTCTTCTCCCACCATCAGGTTGCTCAAATCCTGCTGCATGGGAAGCAGCTCATGCATTAGGAGGTCTTGGGGTTTATTTCCTGGAAGCTGACAAAATTATTCCTTTAACGAAACAAGCTGCATTTTGTGCTCCACAAATTGGTGCCTTTCCTTGCACGCTGAGAGGGTGTCCTCGCTGAGGTACTGATGTTCATCCCAGTGCCCCAGCCGGCAAAACAGCTGAGCTGAGGAGGGCTGGGAGCTGGCTCAGGCAAATCTCCAGGTTGTGTGCTGGGGGAATGGGACAGGCTAAGGCAGGGCAGGAACAGCCCCAGCAGGGGAGACCCCTGGCATAGTGACAGCTCCACCAGCAAAGCCTTGGTGGGCCAGAAGCAGGCAGTGGCTCCTTGGCACCTGTGTGTCCATCCCAGTCACCTCCTCATGTTGGGACAAATGCATGGACCAAACCAGCTCTCTCCTACCCAGGCTGAGGGACCTCACCTGACAAACAGGGCCATGACAAACTATAGTGAAAACCCCGGTTTAGGCGAATTCCCATCTGTTTTAGCTAACATAATTTTAGTTTACTACTTTTTTCTTTTCTTTTTTTTTTTTTTTTTTGGCAGTTGCATGTGCACAATTAACTGCAATCTTGGTTTGGGAAAAAAAAATACAGCACCCTAATTAGCATATTAAGCCTCCTCATTTCCCAGTACTGTATAATGTTGTGAAAGCTAATCTATAATGTATTGGATGTTATGCAAATTCTTGGTGCTCCGTATGGGGTTTGTAAAGGCATGCAAATTAAAAATAGTGTTTGGAATAGGACTGGGGGGAGGGGGAAATTTGCACAATAAAATATGCAGGTAGGAGGAAAGGTGTTTATAACCTTCTTCCTATTGTTTGTGTATTCTCAGCTGTACAATGCTTTTCAAAGCGGAGAGGTGTATTGCATAAAATCTCTCCAAATTGGATAGTTTTCAAATGAAATTTTAAATGAGAGCACTGTTCTCTAAACAATAATTCACCCCATTCTCTGCTGGGGCCTGTAAGTGGTAGGTAAAGGTACTCAGCTTTCCCTGACTGGCATTTCAGTCATGCACAGCTGCTCACAGTGTGTTTGCCTGGGTGTCAGTGGGGGTCTCAACACAGCCACTGTTGTCCAGGAGGGTCCCCAGTGGTGGCCCTGCTAAGACCTGGCAGGTGGCCATCGGTGTAACCCAGCAGGGCAGGTGCATTGCTTGCAGCACCCAGGGTGTTTGCAGCATGCAGAGCGTGCTCTGATCCTGTTAATGTTTTATGGCCCTACCTACAGGAGGATGTAAGTGTAGCTGCAGCACAGCTGGCTTTTTAGGATGCCTCTGGCTCCTGGTGGAGGGGCTCTGTGCCTGCTGCCAGCGCCGAGCCAGCAAACACGGTCAGTCTCCTGCGGCTTGTCACCGCCAGCCGTCGGCTGTGTCCGCCTGAGTGCGTACAGCCAGCCCTGATTGATCCTTAATTAGATTACAGCTGCCGCTCAAAAATAGCCATTTTATAAAAATAAAATCTTGGCTGGTGTCAGACCGAGCCCTGTGCAGACCAGGAGTGGTGCTGCCTCTCCCTGGACAGCCAGGAAGCTCTGCAGGCAGTGCTGGCATTGCTGCCGCTGGGATCAGAGACCGGTGGCTCTCCCCACCTCGATGGCTTTTCCCTGCCTTTGCCTCCATTCTGGCCTTGGTGACACCACACTGGGTCACATCAATGCAGCCCATGGGGCATTCAGCTCAGGAGCTCTTGAACATGCTGATTTTTATCCTGGTGCCCCACAAGCTGAGCACAGCCTGTCCCGCCTCCATGGAGCTGCTGCCCTCCTCCCAAAGGGCACGGAGCACTTCCCAGGGCAGCACTGTCCAGCATCAGCCACCGACAATCTCACAGCCATCTCAGAGGCAGCTCCTTGGCAGATGAGGGAAGGGGGCTTTTCTTTACCAGCTACTTCTTCCAGCATCTTGCCCTGCCCCAGGCATGGCAGGGCTAGGCCCTCCAGGTGTGGGGAGGTTTCCCTAAATTCCTGTTGTGCAGTTAAGCTTGTACTTTGGGTATTTTGTACAGGTCATGCTGCTCTTTCTCCTGAGTCTCTTCCTCTCGGCAGAGTCTCAGCCCCTTTGGCCATGGGTGGGAGAAAGAGAGGGAGCAGCAAGCTCCAGACATGAGCCTGGCACTGGGGCAGACACGGACTGAGCTCCTGCATCTCCTCCACTGACAGCAGGCCTGGATGGACACAGAACAGGCTGTCCATGTGTCAGCCTGGTGTTATGCCATGCAAAGTGGCACAGCATCGCTGAGGATAAGGGCCCAGCCTTTTCCGCCCCACCAGCTGCCCTGCACAGCCATGGAGCAGGGATCAGAGCTTTCCAAGCAGGAACAGGAGCTGAGGATGTCCCTTATGCAGGGAGCCTGTCTCATCGAAGCAGGCAGGAAAAATAACAAGACATCACACAAGGAGGAAATAGAAATGACAAAATGCAACTGAGAGCTCTTCAGGTGCTGCTTTCCCACAGGGAAGAGGCAGATGAGCTCAGGTACCCTTGGGCTGTGGGCTCTTGGCAGCACCAGTCAGCAGCTCCCTTTGTCCTGCCAACATTTCCCACCCTGGGCACTTTGAGCAAGCATTTCCATATTCACTCATTTGCTTCACAGAGGTCTGCATTTGCTTATTTTCTGCTGCAGTTCCCTGGACTGGGGGAGTTCAGGATGCAGCAGCTCCGGGGAGCGCAGCCAAGCACCGTGCCTCCAAGCACAGCCCCTGCAGCAGCAACCACGGCAGCTGGAGAAGCCGCGGCTGGCAGGGAAGCAGCCGTGAGGGCTGGCAGGACCTCCCTCCAGGAATGCAGCCTGGGGGTTTTTGCTTTGCAGATGTGCACACACCCCCACCACAGCGCAGGGGCCGTGGGGGACCGGGAGCCACGAGCGCTGTTTGCCCGTGAGAAGCCACAGTGGCTGGGTTTGGGGCTTCTGTCTGTTAGTGCAATACGAGGGTCCTGCTGGATCAAACCCACCCGAATCCATAAAGCTACTGCGAGTGCCTGTGGGGCACCAAACTGGGAAATTGGCCTTGCTTTGTTTCTACTGCCTTCATTTAACAGTGAGTGCCGATTACTCAAAGCGATATGGGCAGGACCTGGTAATGTAGAGATGCTCTAGAGTTAACTTAAGGGGATGATCCAGTTGCCTGCAGTGTAAATACTTTGTGGCCAGGAACCCTGCTTTATCGCTTTGTATAGTATTAAAGTAGTTTAAAGATTGAATAACATAAAATAACATAATATAATGTTATTTATGTTATTTCCCACGTGAAGAACTCCTGTAAACCTTGCAGTATTGAAACTCAGTGAACAAGGCATCTTAGACAAGCTGAAAAACAAATGGTGGTACGATAAGGGTGAATGTGGAGCCAAGGACTCCGGAAGTAAGGTCAGTCGCTGAAGGTCTTTTTGTACTGATTAGCAATCACATTTTGACCCCACTGTTTGTTTATACCAAGAATGACTTTCAAAAGTTGCTATTTACATTTCGAAGGTTGAAAGAAAAGACTAGAAAAAAATAATTTAAGTCTCAGAACATGACAGCGTTTTTCTTATATGCAGTAACTGACTGTAGTTGTAAGTATGTTTTACTGTGTGAGTATTTTGCTAGAAAAACATGCAAAGAGAAGCCCCCAAAGCCTCCCAAGGTGGTGTTTTCAATTAAATGTGCAAGTTTTAACACAGTCATTGTGTATGATTCAGGCCAGCATCTTATTTTTAGTTTTATTGAAAAATCGCGTTTTTGTTTCAAAATTATGACTTAGTTTCTCTACATGTCAGTTTGGGAGACAGTCACATGCTTGCTAAGGGCGTAAATTTTCAGAACACACCACTGATAAGGAAAAAACACCTTTCCCACCCTGTTTCCCAATTCAGTCTGAAATTGCTTGGATTTTAAAAAAAAAAATCTAGAAATTCCAATGGTGAGTCATTACCTAAATGTTGTATATTCCTTTTTGTACTGCTTTGAACCATTTTGCTGCTGTACTGCCCTGTTGCCCACCAGCTGTGCTGCAGGGCTGGCCAACCTCATGTGGAACTGCTGTAGACTCCAGGGGAGATCCCACCCCTGAGGTGGATCACCCCAGTAGGTGTACACTTGAATTGCAGGAAATATTTATTTACACCATTCAGTTAAAAGAAAACACAGAGGATTTTTTTTTTCCTTAATGCTTATAGAACCACTGGGGAGAAAAACCCTGTAAAAGTGCTGGGCTTGTTGGAGTGAAGGACATTTTCAAAGGCACCAAGAGGAGGAGAAATCCAGCTCCAGCTGAAATCGGTCACAGTTGAGTGCCTAACTCCCCTGGTGCCTTTGGAAGTGCTCTCTGTAATCATTCAAACAGAAAACTATAATTTCAAAGCACCCTCTCAGTGTCGGAGGACAATTTCAAGTTCCAGCAAAGCCAATAATAAAATTTCATTGATTTCAGTTGGACTGGAAGTTGCTTAGGGCACAACCCTGTAGCTGTTGTCTGAGATAAATTTGGGATCGTGGGATATCTGAACACACAGCAGCTGCAGAAGGGAAATGTAATTGAAAAGAGATATAAATGAGATCTTTAGTTTATATGTCAGGCTGTTTGCTACAACTGCATGCATCCAAACTGCTCGTGAAATGCACAGACACTTGCAAGGTAGATCCTATTTTATTGCGACTATATTTGAATTTTTCTCTCCCTGAAGAGACTTGTTAACGAAGCTCTGTCAGCAGGTGTCTTCTCTGGGCACAGCCAGGTTGCTTTGGCACCTGCCTGTCCGTCCCAGAGTAGCGTGGTGTGCCAGCCCAACCAGGGCCATGCCAGCCACCCTTCCTGCCCACAGCCAGCCCGCCTGCCCGTGCAGCAGCAAAAGGGTTGCAGCTCTATTTATTCTGATTACAGAATCCTGTCCTTAAAAATGCAAGCCTCTCCCCCATCTGACATGTACTGAAGGAAGGTAAACCCTGGCCAGTGATTTTTGTTTAACAATGTCTGTTTTTATTCAGTAACTCACTCTCTCAGAGTTGCTGGTTTAGCTCAGGGCTCTGCTGCTTGACCTCTAAGAAACTGACCACCTTCCTAGGGTGTTGTGTTTTTTTTAATATTGAAAAGAAATGTAGATAAGTTTAGGAGCATCTCAATAATTTTACCTACATTCCTGAGAACCAAATGTGCAGTGGTTTGGCTTTTTCTTTTTCTGGTTTTTCACGGCCTTTTCCAAAACCCGCTGTTTTACTCAGCCACTGCTTTCCCCGGCACAGCTTTCCCGCAGTGCCTTTGCCACCAGGGATGCTCGGCCGTAGGCAGGATTGCTCGGGGACACCAAAGGCCTGGGACAGTCAGTGGCCAAAAATATCTCATCGCCTTGGAGCCAGCCAGGGCTTCACCCGCCACAGGGTGGAAGGCAGAGCAGTCACTGCTGCGCAGCCCCAGGCTGTGGGGATGGGGGGACAGCACCGGTCCGTGAGCCGGACACCAAACACCACGAGGGTGGCATTTGCAGCTAGGACTGAGTGCAAAGTAACTTGTTGTCTGTGTGCCTGTCTGCTCCTCACAGCAAAGCTAACGGCGTCGCTCGTTTCTCTTAGGACAAGACGAGCGCTCTGAGCCTGAGCAATGTTGCCGGGGTGTTCTATATCCTGGTGGGAGGCCTGGGGCTGGCCATGATGGTGGCACTGATCGAGTTCTGCTACAAGTCTCGGGCCGAGTCCAAGCGAATGAAACTCACCAAGAACACGCAGAACTTCAAACCCGCTCCCGCCACCAACACCCAGAATTACGCCACCTACAGAGAAGGCTACAACGTGTACGGCACAGAGAGTGTGAAAATCTAGGGGTACGGCTGCGGGCCGGGACCTGAACCCGCTGGGGTTTCTCCTTTCTCTCTTTTTTTTTAGCTGTCTGTGCTAGTTTGTTGTGTGCATCAGCGGGCTGCTGCAAGGGGGCTTTTGAAACGCCATCTTGTGGCATCAGTGGTTTAAATTTCTCCCCTGCTCAGAAGTAAGCTTGGTACCACCCTGCAATGCACACAGGGGTAGCTGGCTTCATGCTGGAGGGAGTAACTCCTCTCTCCAGCATCGTGCTGGTTCAAAATGGAAGTATTTTGTTAAATGCTTTTAAAATTGCGTCTCTCTTGCTGGTGATCTCTTCCGCTATAATCAGGTTTTTTAAGCTATAATCAGGTCAGGTAAGTGCTCTTAGGAAGTCTCAAAAAAAATCTACAATAGAACAAAAACTTCTGCGCTAGAATTTGGGATTTCTGAAGCCGGAAAAGTAGAGCTGAATTGCTGAAAAATGACCCTGGAAAAGCCTGGTTAGCCCACAGCCTGTACCTCTCCCTGGGCTGAGCTCTCCTGCCCCTCACTGCCAGGCAGTGATGAAATCTTTCTGGTTTTATTATAGATCCTCACCCTGACAGCTTGCAAGAGGAAAAGCAGCAGAGAATGTGGCTACTTCATGGATTTGGACCACCTGAGCCAGTTGTACTCTCTCCGAGGTGTCAGGCATGACACGCATTGATGATGGTGCAATGTACTTTTAATAGGAAAAACTGATTTTTTTTTTCCTTCAGTGCCTTATGGAAGACTCTGAGACTCACAACAATGCAAACCATCACTGAAATATTCTTGCTTTGCTTGAAAGAAGTAAAAGAAAACAAGAGAGGAAAAGGAAAGAAAAAAAAATTTAAAAACAAAAAAAGAGAGAAAAAGAAAATAAAACAAAAAAAAAAGAAAAATGAGAAAAAGGAAAAAGAAAAGGAAAGGACTGGTAACAAGGTATTGGTATGTGAAAAAAAAAAATCTTGTAAAAAAAATCAGTGCAACAAAAGCCATTCTTTGATACCACTGCACAGTAACTGAACTTGTGTCCTGAAAGCAAATCGCAGCCGGTTTCATCAGCCACCCCAATCGTATCAAATTATGAAACTCCTCCTGGCACAAAGCCTCAGAAATCTGCTGTGTGCGAACACGGACCGGCCTGCCACTGCTTGTATGAGCTGATGTCAAGATGTTTCAGTATTTACTTACAGTGGTGTGATTTTAATTTTTTTTCTGAGCCACTTTGATCTCTCCAGCTAATTTGAGCAATTCTGTATAGCAGTAAAAGGTGTAACAGCTGAAGAAAAGAATCTGTGAGTTCAAACCAATTAAGGTCAATGACTGTGAATCTGTAAATCCAAAAGAAGGGAATTTGTGGAACTGCATGACTTGCTTCCAGATCAGTAAATTAATTCCTTGACAAGGTAGCTAAAGTGTGGGCAGAAAATATTGCATTCCTTTTTTTGTTCTATCATCAGGCATACCTACAGGTGCTTTATTAAAATGACATTGGGTGGCTTTTAAAACAAACAAACAAAAAAAATAAAAAAAAGGAAAAGCTACTTGCTGTTTAGGTTCAGACCATATATCTCTTTTCTTGCTGTGCATTTGCATTTTAATTCACTGTTTAATATCAAGAAATGAAGCAAAGAAGGGCAGGTTAGTTTTTCCCAGGCCTGCTTCTGCTTCACCCCGGTTCTCCCCAACTAGCACTGTGCTCAGCTAATGCTTCTCAGTAATGGTCCTCGTGAAACAGAAGTAAGGGAGGAGGGTGGTAACTCCAATTAGAGCTGCACTTCCAGAGTAATAGTAAGCGATCTAACATGACTCCTGCTAGTACTGTTATATTCTATCAGCTCCTGCCAACTCTTCTTTCGTGGCTCCTGGTGAGAGGATGCTCCTGTCCCTGCCCCTCAGGGAGGAGGACACCGCGCTCTGCCAGCTCTGCTCCAGGCAGGGGCTCGCTATTACTCACATCCAACGTCTTAGAGAGCAGCATTTCAGCCTTGAACCTCTGCCTGGAAACTACTTAACTTCATCTTTAAAAAAATAAAACTTTAAAAAAAAAAAAAAAGGAAAGAAAAAAATAGGAAAAGACAAAAAAAAAACCACGAAAACAAACCAACCACAAACCTTTAAACATATTGTCAATCACATGGGAAATGTTCAATGGAATATCTGCATACTAATTACCTCTAATCGACAATATGTATTTTCTGTAGTTTACGATATAGAGTTTTATTTCATCAGTAACATACAATGAAAAAGAAGCTCATTTAAACCAGTCTGACCCTTAGGCGTTTAGTTTGCTGATGATAGATTTGAACTTTTAATAGGATTTAAAAAAACAAAAAGCAAAAAAAATTAAAAAAAAAAAAAGAAAAAGAAAGTCTCGTACAAAATAAGTATTTCCAACAAAATGTAATATAAAATCATTTTAAAAGCTCATAGGAGAATAATTTATTGTTCGAGTTTTTAACAAGATATTGACAAAAGAATTGTTGTTTTGTTTTCGTTTTCTCTTCATGAAACTGTGATTTTTTTTTTTTTTCAACTTCTGAACGCGATCACGTCCCCAGCAAGGGCGAGCTAAAGCTGTGCGGTTATGAGTTGTATTTAAAGCAAACATTTTTCTTAAAAGCTGTATAAAAGATGTATGTTTATCAGATCAATTTTTAAGAGTGGAGGCTTCACAGCAGTGAAGGGGGTTTGGTAAATGGTTCGATATTTTTTAAACTTGCATGTAAAGCTAAAACAAAATGTGTTGAGTGCTTACAAATTCCGGCTACCAACTTCAAGCTATTGGAAGTTCGGCAGTAGTCTCACGATGATTTGTTTTGGTATATTTTTTTTAATTTGTTTTGCTCTGGGGGTATCTGGGGGTTCTTTCCTTTTCTTTTGGGTTTTTTTCTCTTTTTTTTTTTTTCTCTTTTTTTTTTTTGGAATTTAAGTTCCTATTTTTGGTCTTTGAAACTGCACTTCAGTGAGCAGAAAAATTGCCAAGCAAACTAATGGCTGTAAAAGCATAAAACTGCATGTGTGGGCATCAATTACTGAGCCTCATTTTGATGAGGTGTTGTACAAAGAGTTTTAATACATTTTGTAAATAAAACTGTAAAGAAAAAAAATTGAAGAGCCTGCTTATCTTTTCATCAGAAGAGAAAGAGTCCCTCCCTAACTGCTGTCCCTTTGGCCAGTCTGGGATGCTCCACAGGTACTTACCACAGAACCCTCGAATGGTTTGGGTTCAAAAGAACCTCTAAAGATCATCCATTTCCAACCACCCCACCCTAAACTCACTAGACCAGGCTGCTCAATCATCGTTCAGCCAGGCCTCAGGGGTGTCACCGGTGCTTCTCCCACCGCACTGCTGGGAAATGCTTATTTCTGGTTTGGTACCCTGCAGACCAACTAAATTATTGTTTCCTTGATGAGTGAAACTGTTTGATCCTGGCCAGGTCCAAGGGGCACCGACATTGCAACTAATCCCAACTCAATAAATTAGACTTTACTTCATCCACAGCACAGTTTTTCTGAGTCGCCACAAGCTATGAACTGTAGGAAGTAATCCTGGTATTAAATGGGATTAACAAATGGAAAAATGTACATGGCCATCACTGGTACCTTTTGCAGCTCAGCACCCAGTGCCCAGCAGTTGGTCTCAGCCATGGGACTGCTTGAGCCTGGCCCCAATCCCTGTGGAACAGCTGCCAGCCACTGGTGCTCGCTGTATGTGAGCACAGCGGAGGGACACGGGCTGAGCCCACCACCATGTCCTCAGCCAAGGCTTCAGCAACAGCAAAATAAGCTCAGGAATAAGCAAGGGCTAAGTGAGAGCAATAAACAGCAATTATTTGACCCTAAACCATCCTACAAGGACAAAGGTTTCGGGCTGTGGGTGTGAGCAGGGTGTTGTGCTGGGCACATGAGGCTCTGTCCCACCGGGCACAGGGACCCGGGACCTTCCTTGTCCTGGCCCTGGGAGAGCCCGTGCTGAAATGAGCCTATTTATATGTAAAGTGCCCACACAATGAATGCAGGGAGGCATGCAAAAAAATATTGTTCTGTCCTTTAACCTTCATTTCATGCTCAACATCCAGGCAAATGTGGGCGGGCTGCATTTTCTAGAGAGCAGTCTCGACCTGCTCCCTGCTGCCTGACAGCTCCCTGCACCCTGCACCAGCCACGGGAGGAGTCCCACCAGGGTCTCACCAAGCACCAGGTCCTGTGAAATGAATGTTAAGGTTTTCTAATACATTTGAGTTTGGCAAAACAAAGCAATTAGGGCAGGGGTGAAGAGACACAGCTGCCCCCAGTGAGCTGGGAGGCTGCACCACAGCCCTGGAACACTGGGCTCTAACACACCTCAGTGTGACCTTGTCTCTAAACTTCTGTGGGGGGCAATAATATAAGGAAAAATTCAGAGTAATGTATCCTGCTTCCAGAGTCAGCAGTGGGAGCAAAAGGAAGTCAACAGTGTTCAAGTTCAGGCCTAAAAACCCAAAGCAATAGCAACTCCTCCCCACGGCACAGAGCACAACTGACAACAAAATAAAATCAATACTGTATCACTATGGCATAGTTTTTCCTTCGAAGGTTTTGTGCAAAGGACTGCAACATTATTTTTTTAAAAATAATTATTCTTTATGGTTATTTAAATAATAATACGTCACGGGTATCAAAATTAAATTATGAAATGTCTTTGGTTCTCATATTCATCATTTCAGTCTGGAAAATTGGCTCTATTTTGCAGGCAGCAATAC